CCTCGTCTCACACGGTCCTGTCCTGTAAAATCCCTCCCCTTGTCACTTGCTGTATGTCACACTGTGGTCCTGGGGGAAACATTATTTCGTGCCACTATACATTTATATATGGAGGGTAGGATAATAAAGCCCACTTGACTAATGAAGTTAATGTGACCCAGTATTTATTAATAGGTACGAGACACCTGGGGGGTATTTCATGAAGCAGGATTTCTTGCTTAGCCGGATAACTTGTTGGATTTAAGGTAGTCTGGGCTAAATGGACTATATCTTCGTCCACTTAAATGTAGTTCAGACTACCTTAAATCTGACAAGTTATCTGGCTAAGCAAGAAATCCTGCTTCACTTAGCCATGGAGGACGGCAGGCCTTCAGGACGGCCTTCCAGGCTGCCCCAGTGCAGAGCATCGGACTCCTACCCTGAGGTAGTTGAGGGTGAGGTTCGTCAGGCCCATCCTGGTGATGTTTGTCGACAACTGCTCCAGAACCTGAGAGTCTTGTGCCTGAAAGAGGGGGAAGGAGTGCGGATTGTAGCAGGATCATGTCGGCCTCCCCGAGATCCACGCATCGAAGCTGCTGGGATGTTAATCACCAGTAACCCCACCCATTACCGTTTGATAGTTTTATGCTTCGCAGATACAGGCAGTACAATTATTACGTTCCCTTTTAAGAGGATTTAACATTTGAAACGTAATCAAATTCAATTTGAATGTGAAATATTTATGAATAATGAAAGAATTATTTTGTATTTTCTAAAGAATCAGGTGATAGATTAGAATGAGTCTGGGGCTGTAAGACATGCATTTCATATACTCTTACGCTTGTAAGTGTTGCCATTTTAGTCTACAACATTTAACACATAATTTATATAAAAATGTCAGAATGTTTTGTGATATAGGCACATGCAAAGAGAGTGACAGAGTGCGGCCCCCCTCCATGCGGAGTGGTATGACACTGGGCAGAGAGGAAGGGGCCGGATTTCATGCTGGGGAGGGAACACAGCCCAGCTTAATAATCTCAGCAGAGGACAGGTCTGTCATCAGCACTGGGGGGGGGGGGGGGGCAAAAAAAGATGGCAGATCAGGCCTGGGGTCGCTGGAGGGGGGAGGACAGTGTTTCAGGGTTTTGGGTGTGTTTACTGGGGGACACAAACCTCAGAGAGTGCAGCCTGTCATCTCACCATCTCACATGTACGTTTGCTGAAAATGTACCTCAGTGTTTAATCCAAATGCTGCACAACACACATTCAACCCTAAAGACACACATCCATCTTTTAACTGCTTATCGTGGTCAAGGTCATTTGGAGGTAACCCAGACCGAGATAGCAGCTCATCACAGGCACAAACATACACACGGGTTTGTAATTATGTCTTTGTGGGCACTCTCCATTCATTTCTATGGGGAAAACTCTAATTCCAACATAATGACCTTAACCCCTACCCAAAATGGTCCCCACAATGTCAAAATAATGGGTTTTTATAACACTGTGGGAAAAATTTGGTCCCCACAATATAAACCAAATCCACGCAAACATACACAGACACACAGATCTACACACAGACATAGACAACCAGACACACAGACAGACACAGACACAAACAGACAGAAAAACAGACACACACACACGCACAGACACACAGACAGACACAGACACAAACAGACAGAAAAACAGACACACACAAACGCACAGACACACAGACAAAGACACACACACAAACAGACACACACACACAGACAAAGACACACACAGACAGACAGACAAAGATACACACGCACACACACACACACAGACAAAGACACAGACAGACAGACAGACAAAGACACACACGTACGCACACACACACAGACAAAGACACAGACAGACACACACACACACGCGCGCACACACACACACACACAAAGACACAGACAGACAGACACACACACACGCACGCACGCACACACACACACAAAGACACACACGCACACACACAGACACACACACATGCACACACAAACAGACAGACATACAAAGACACACACAGACAGACAGACAAAGACACACACACACACACACAGACAGACAGACACACACACAGACAAAGACACACACAGACAGACAGACACACACACACGCATGCACGCACACACACACACACACACACACACACACAGTTGCAGCTGGTTCCCAGCCCCCAGTCCTGGAGGCTAAGGGGCAGTAGAGCTTGTCACTGAGCCGCCCAAACACACATCAGCTCAAGAATAAACTAAATGCTATTTGTTTTTATCATTTAGAGATGAAAGTCACCAATCCTGAACACATAAGCCCAAATGTTTTTCTTTAACAGTATCATTCAATATAATTTGTTAAAAATACATAACATACTGAACCAAAGGAATGAATATAGTTAGCCTAGCAACAAATCAAACAAGCTAACATGCATTTAAATGCTATTACATCTAGCAGCATAGCTCTCTGTTACACTAATAAGATGCTACCTGTAACTTCGTCATATGAGTAAAGCATTAGAATCCAGCCAGATGTCGAGCAACAAACCAGACATTGTGTGAGATGGTGAATCAGGAGCCCTGGCTGGGAGCTGAGCAGATGACCGTCAGACGGAGCTGTAATTTCATATGTGTGCTTACAGATTACCGGCTTCCTCCCTCCAAGCTTTGCTTTAACATGCAATAACACTGCAGCTGAATAACATAACGACTTTCAATTTACAAGGCGATTTATATGTTTAAAGTTGGTCGTCCAGCTCCATCTTAATTAAGGGACTTCGTAAATCCTTCCACTCGCGAGGACTAAGAAGATTCCAGAGAGATTAAGAGGAATCCCTCTTTGTTTTCGAAAGCCTAGTCTCCCTCCAAATTCCAGCAGCGCTCAGCTACTTTTAATGTTGCAAGAAAGATGAAACTGTATCTGAACATCAATACTCCTTAAAAAAGCACAAGGCAGTTAAAACAGCAATATCGTTTCTACAGTCCAAAAAAAAAAAAAACACCACTTACATGCATGGCTAAAATGCTTCGGGGAAGCAGCTCCCTAAACTGCCTCACTGTGAAATGCCAGGTCTTGATTCTCATGAGGTCATCAAAGGCGAATTCGAGCATCAAACGTCCTTCTGTGCAGACCTGTTGGCAGAGGGAAGGGCGAGAAAAGAAGAGGACCTGATCTTCTGTGAAGAACAAACTCACAATCTTCTTCAATGGCTTCAGCATGACAACAGTCTCCAACATGACAACCTAAACAGCCAGACAACGCGTCAAGATCATCAATGTTCATCTCCAACGTGGCATTCGGGATGATGTCAGAGGCTACACACCATTGCTGTGTTTATTCTTCACATTTGTCTTTGATACTTGGTTCTACAGACAGAATAATCTATGAATTTGTACACTGCTGTAAATACAGTTGATGAGTTAATATTCCCCATCTTTAGTTTCAGGTTAAGGTCCAGGGGTGAACTTGGAGTCAAACTGCATAGATGGTCATAAAATATGAAGGTGGCAAAATGCACAATTCTAGGGTCATTATAGTAATAAGCAAGCAACAAAAATACATCAGAGTTGTGCTACATCTGCCAGTGAAATCTGTGCAGTGCTACATCTGGCAGTGAAATCCGTGCAGTGCTACATCTGCCAGTGAAATCCGTGCAGTGCTACATCTGCCAGTGAAGGCTGTGCAGTGATAGGTCCATTTTACGTCCTCGTTTTCATGCTGAGGTCTTTAGCAGGATCTTGTTCCTGTATTAAATATATCAAATCAAAGCTCCTCTTTACATGCATCTCTAAATAATTGTTATATTACATGTCATTCTCATATGAAGCAGAACCAGAATATGGAAGCCATTGAAACGTAATGTCTGGTCTCTATATTCAAAATGCCCATTGTTATATAAAAAATCGAACTAAAAGGAGTTGACATAAATCGTGCCTCTTTTGCAAGACAATGAGTCCTAAATTCAAAGGACTTTCCAAATAAGAAAACATTTAGCTATTTTACTAAATTCATGTTATGGTACTCTGGGTGCTGACATTTTGTCGCTATGGCGACCGAAATCAGCTGATTAGTTGGCATGGCAACAGAAAAGATGTAATCCCAGCAGACACACTCTAATCAATGCCCTCAGCACAGACGCTCTCTGGAGGATCAACAAGACAGGGGATGGCAGAGACACAGTTTGGCGTGGGGGGATTACTACACCCTGGTGGAAAAGTAAAAAAGGCTTCTGTCCCCCTCTAACTAGCAAATATATCATTCATCCCATTCCAGGACCTGGGATTTCTTTAGTAGAACCGTTCAGATTAAGGTGCTTGGCAGAAAGGGAGGACACAGCCTTCCCCAGGAACGACAAGCGCGCCTCATTCTGTGTGATGTTCTGGGGACCAACTGCTGCAGTCACAACACCAGTCACCAAAACAAGCTGACTGAACAAGCTGCGATATATTTTCAGATATTACATATTTATAGTAGGACTGAGAGCACATAATTAGGACTACAAACTAAACTGTGGGAATTAACTGACAAATTTCATTGATCACTCTCAAAAAAGTAAAACCACTCAAAACTATATAAATTTACCATGCTAATCCTATTAAAGGTAATCTTATTCTTAATCTCACACATATATGGGTACACACACACAGACACACACACACAATGTAACAGACATACTGACAGCCTAAAGCAGGGCAAACCACACACAGAACATCGTATCCTTAATGTGACTCGTTGCTATTTACCGTCTCCCGTCATATAATATCCAGCACTTATGCTGATGAATTCACAAAAACCTTAAGTGATACAAAACTATAACTCACAGCATGTGCGCCAAATGTAAATGTTTTACTTTCGCTGCACTGTAGGGCTACAAAAAAACTTCTTTATCAAGGGCTCTGATAATATATGCAACATTTTTTGTAAATGACTGAAGAAAGTCATACGTGATCTCAATAAACATAATTTTCATATAATGTGGCAAACACGATGTAGCATCCCCTACTGGCTGAAAAATTAATGCCGATGGCGATCGACACGTTCTTTCCAGTCAGTGGGGGCTACAGATCATTTATAAATAATATAATATTTATATAGGCCATACATCTCTTAAATTACGTAATAATTCAAGCATGCATACCTTACGCCTCATGCGTCTGGGAAAACTGTTCCTCACCCTCTGTGTATGACTGAAATGAGGGGAGGGAGTTTGGGGGGGGGGGCCCCCCCCCCCCCAAAATCCAATCCCCCCCCCCCCTCCCTCCCACTGGGTCTGACTGAGCCTTTCTGCTTCATAGAAACAAAAATTAAATGGAAAGTTCCTTGTGATGAATGACCTCACATTCCAATCTGTACCATCCCAGGGACCCAAAGCCAGGTTCAGCAAGATGATGGCTTAATCAGGAAAGCTGCTAATGGCTGAATACGTATTAATATCACAGAGTTCTGTGGCCTGAGTTTGGGGTGACAGCCTTGTTCATAAGGACCTGAAAGAAGAGCTTCCTGCTGATACCTATAAGAGCAGCTCACAACAATAAGAACATATCATTATCAGAAAGCGGAGTACTCAACAAATGGCTGTGGTTCCTCTGTGCGTACTACTGCCTAATATGCAGAGAATTAAGATAAATCAAATGGCTAGAGCCAGAGACATCAGACATCAGCATTATGTATGTGTAAACAGGGCCTGCATGCACTCACATTAACTAATGAAATAACGGCAAGTGGAAATCGTTATTGTAATGAGAGCAGATGATATGATCCAAACAGACGCTCTTCAGCTCAACTGCCTGCTTCAAACTGGTGCAATTTTAACTGAACGAGTTTGTGAAATATTCGGAAGGTTTCGGACTAATATTAATCAGCATGCAATGATTATTTACAGCAGGCACAAGAAATTCAGTTTTAAATAAAAAATTTTAAACTGAACAGGAGTTTAAAAGAACAATACATTGCATAAAAATAGACAGATTTTTTTCTATATTTCAATGCACGGATTCGCCCAGGATCCTGTCCTGCATCGCCCGAAACCTGCCAGAGGGCTATGCCCCCCCCCCCGCTTGCAGATCTTCTCTGGGGTCTCCTTGCTTGCTCTGCATGTTTCAGATCTCTTCACAGATCCCAGTACCTGGGCTCCCAGCCCACAGTCCTCATCTCTTCCTCCTCGTAAATACTTCATGGTCGATTGAGGTGTGCCTCACATCGCTGTCTCTCCCGGATATTCACCCTCTTTTCAACTTCAATTTCTTGACTGACTCTGGGACATTTACTTCCAGGATTGGCTGATATTTACTTGAATCCATTCTGCTACCCGCCTGACCAATATTTTTCCATTTTAAGGCTGCCAAACATACCCAAATCATAACAGATCCAACCTATCAGCTGCCAGTGAAGACTTTTTCTTCTCCCTTTGTTCTACAAATATCTTCATTTTCTTTTTTTTTTTGCGGGCAAATAATTAAACTGTCATTTCTTCATTTCAAAGGAACTAGAACTCACGAACGCTTTGCATACTTCTGATACTAAATTATGTGTTGAGGTCTTGGAAAGGATTTTCTCTCCGGTTTAGATTAGACTTAGAACAAATACCCAGTCTCATCTACACCAGTGGCCAAAAGTGTGGAAACACCTAGCGTTTTTGGCATTACGCTTTAAAAATTACTACAGAAATATTGGTGGCAATGTTTATAAACATTCAAAGAATGTTTACAAATATCAAACACTGGACGATTAAATAAGTAACTGGAGAAACTGGAATGAAGTTCTGAAGTCTCTCAAAATCGGACGTGTTCCCACAAGGATAGGGATACAGTGCGCTAGGGATACAGTGCGCTAGGGATACAGTGCGCTATTAAAATTTACAGCCACACTTGAAAGAGAGCAGCTGGGCAGGAAGCTGGATTCCAACAGGAGCTGCATCAATCCACACAGTCATTACCTCAGTCAGATATCAGTATAATATTACACATGTTCCCTTCATCTCGCTGCACCTTGCAAGCACGTTATACTACAACTGCTACGTGTAAAAACCCCTAACAATATAGCTTAGATAATGCAGTTAAGTTAAATGTAAGATGCTGAAAAAATTAAAGGGGAACTGAATTGTTGAGGTGATGACAGAGATTAAAGCAGCATGCAGCCCTGATTTACAGAAATGGCTCAAAGTGTAATAGCATGTGACTGATAATATAAAGAGTATTGATTAGCAAGGACAGTACATTCATTTTCTGGCCTGGCTGAGCCCTGACAGCATAGTATAGCTTTTGCGGGGGGTGGGGGTGGGGGGGGACAGGTTCACTGCCGAGGCTCACAGAGCTATATGCTACGCAGCAGGAATGCTGCCCCCGATGGCTGGTGGGAGGGGGGCGGATAGCTACTAGGGGGGTTGGGGTGGGGGGGCGGCACCAGCATCGAGCATCTGTGTGCCATGTGCTGATCCAGCAGGTCACTACTGAACAAAAAATTCAGCGGTATTAAAACCCACTGGAAAAGCAACATATTAGCGATTATACACTCACTGGCCACTTTATTAGGTACACCTTGCTAGTACCAGGTTGGACCCCCTTTCACCTTCAGCATTGCCTTAATTCTTTGTGGCGCACAATCAGCAAGGTGCTTGAAACATTCCTCAGAGACTCTGGTCTATGCTGATCTGAGAGCATCACGCAGTTACTGCAGATTTACTGGCTGAACCTTCATGATGTGAATCTCCCGTCCACTACAGCCCACAGCTGCTCTATTGGACTGAGATCTGGTGACTCTGGAGGCCATTTGTGTACAGTGTGCTCACTGTCACCTTCAAGAAACCAGTCTGAGATGATATGAGCTGTGTGACACGGCGTGTGATACTGCTGGAAGTAGCCATTAGAAGCTGGGTAGGCTGTGGTCGCAAAGGGATGGACATGGTCAGCAGCGATAGTCAGGTAGGCTGTGGTCATAAAGGGATGG